ACCGGCGGCCTCGGACAGCGCGCCCTGCAGGTGGCGCCTCATGGCGGCCTTGGTGTTGAGGACCTCGTGCTTGGCCCAGCACTGACGGGTGGCGGTGGCCCGGCAGTCCGAGCACCACGCGCCCAGGATCCTGCTGCAAAAACAGTGCTGAAGTTGAACGAAACCGGACTGTGAGCGCAGCTGTAACGTGTGAGTGCTCACCTGTCGTCGGCCATGGCGTGCCGGGGAGCTCGGCCTGGTAGTCAGTGCTGTACTCCTGCTCCTACTCCTGGGCCTGGGTGGGTCTACCCTCCGCGAGGTGACGCCTGGGACTGACCAACGACCAACTGGCGGCCGGGCCGAGTGCTCTCGGCCTGGTGCCTGGTGCGGAGCGAGGGATTACCTGTTACCGATCCCTGTTGTTTGCTGGTTCGGTTTGGCCCCCTCGGCCGGCAGACTGAGGGAATCCCGCCAGAGAGTAAAGGGTGAGTACCATACTCATCCTCCGCCTTCAAGCCTGGCCAGCGGGCCGGCAGGCAGGCTGGAAGGCTGGGCTCCACAGCGATTCTCGTCAAGTTTTCCGCATCGCATTGTTTGCCCGCGATGCCTGCAGCCCTCGGCCATGGCCGTGGAGGCAGGGTGCACTAATGAGTACCCATGTCCGTCAGGATAAGCCCCCCCCCCCTTATATGTTATATCCATCCATAACACCTTACCGCTCCCCCCAACCCTCTCCCTTCTGTCTTGGTCTGGATGTGGCTAGCCTTGTTCTACTGAGTGTGGTCTCATATTTAAAATGCTATGCGTCTAGTAAAGCTGCGCTGCCATTCTCACAGACCGAGCATGACTTCAGCCGAGTGTCAGACGCACTTTGGTGTTCGCAAATCCACAGTTGGGATGACACGGGAGAATTCGACTAAATTCCCTGTAAATGGTTAAACTTCGGCATTGTGAAATCATGATGCGGTCTTTACAAATATTCGAGAATTTATTGCGACATGTGTCAAATGAATACGACAAAGGCAGGTGACAAGGCACTTCGTGCATGCACGTCTAGAAGGGCTCTCTCTCCACATTATCACAGCTCTGGCACAGGACCTGGGTATCGGGCAACATACGCCGCATCGCAGCGAGCTGCTCCGGGCAGACCCCTCTGTTGAGATAACATGCTTTCTCCAGCACGACTCTCCTCAACGCCGGCAGGCCGCACTTCTTCAGTGCCAGAGACTCTATGTCCCTGTCGCCTGTCGCCGAGGCCGCCACCAGATGCAGCTCCACGAGCGAGGCCGCGTGGGCCCGCAGCAGGGACTTGAGCGTGTCGCCGGAGACGGCGTCTACCCGGAGCCACTGCAGGCCGCAGTGTCCTGGAGGCAGTTCGGGCAGCACTAGGCCCATGGTGCGCAGGCCCGCGCCCATTATTTGCAGCCTCTTCAGCCGCGGCATGGCGTGGATCGCGAGCATGTGGCTCGGCATGGGGTGTTGCACACTCAGGTGCTCCAAGGTGGGCGCGGCTGCCTGCAGCAGCAGATCGCTCCACCGATGGAAACAGCCAAACACACCGATCAGCCTCCGCACCTGCAACAAAACATAGTCACTCCTAGCGTGCTGTGAACTCAACGAAAGCAAACGCTTCTTTTACCGCTCAGGACAAGCCATTTGCAAAACTGACAGTATCCTCAACTGATAATCATCACTTACCCCTTTCGCCTCTTCGACTGAGTCCACCTCCCATTTCTGTGCGGCCGCTTTTCCCTCGTGTATGCCTGGTCGTCTGAGTAACACATTCAGCTCCCGCCAGGTGGCTTCTGCTTCGACTCGACCACTCAAAGGTAGGTATGCCGGCCTGTTTTCCTCTGGTTGTTCAGTTTTTACAGTTTGGCTGATTGCACCCTCGTTAGCCTCTAGCGAGACGGGCCGCGCTCCTGCAGTCGAAGTCGAAGGTCCCGGTGTCGCTGCCGCCCCCGGGTCCTGCACGAGGGCGGCCCTGGCGGCCACCACGACCCACAGGGCCTTGACGAGGGGGTGTCCTCGGTGTTCCTCACGGTCCCCGTCAGCACCTGGTCGCCGCCGCGCAGCGTCAGGCCCCAGGACTCGCCGCTGAGCAGGGCGAGGGCTTGTAGGGCCTGCTCCCCCTGGACCTGGTCCCGGAGGCCCTCGAGCAGACCGGCGGCCTCGGACAGCGCGCCCTGCAGGTGGCGCCTCATGGCGGCCTTGGTGTTGAGGACCTCGTGCTTGGCCCAGCACTGACGGGTGGCGGTGCCCCGGCAGTCTGAGCACCACGCGTCGAGGATCCTACAGCATGCAATAGTAAAGAGTGCAGGAAGTGAAACAAAAGTGCCCTGTGAGCTCGGACTCAGCTGTGACGGGAAGGTGCTCACCTATCGTCGGCCATGGTGTGCTGGGGGTGAAACTGGACTGCTGGTACTGTAGTCAGTGCTGCACTCCTGGGAGGATCCGTCGGTCCGCCCTCCACGAGCTGGCGCCTATGACTACTGACAAACTCCCGATGCCGTGCCGTGCCGTGCCGTGCCGTGCCGTGCCGAGTGCTTTTCGGCCCGGGGTGGAAAGTTGTGCGGTTTATCCGAGTGAGGGATTACCGGTTCCTGTTCGTTGGTCTCTCGGTCGGTTCGGCCTCTGCCCACGTTCCTCAGCCAGCTCTGCCTGCAGGCTGAGGAAAACCGGAAAACCCATCCGGGCGTTGCAGCTCGCAGCTCCGGCACGGTGAGCTTCAGGCTCCGGCCAAATACGACATGCAAAAGTGAGCGGGGTTACTGAGCCACCTGGTACAAGGAAGAAGGTGGTCACTGTGCCCCGTTGTAGCAAATGCGTATGCTAGCCCGCATGCACGGGTGCGTACGGGACGGGCCTATGGGCTCCCCCCCCCCTCCTAACTGGACCTACACAACTTGTGCCGATTCCCTCGCTCGGCTCATGCTAATGTGCCTCCTGTCAGCCCAATCCCAATAGGCCCCATAGTCCTCGCAGGTCTGCCCCTTCCCATGTTGCGGGTGGTCCCCCTTCCCTACCCCACCGTCCAGCACACACCATTTTTCACACCCTCAATTGGATTACACGTGTTCTTTTTCTCCACTCACCCGCGAGCCACCTATCCCTGCTACCGGCCTGCTACTCCCCCCCCCCACCATCACCTACCGTAGAATTGAGTCAGGCAATCAGGCAAAATCAAGTCATTTTCATTAAATTTCCCTCGCCTTTCTCACTCTTGACACAGCACGGGCGTAGGAGGACAGAGATAGGCTCAATCTCAGTGGGCCCCCGGCCCGGCGCTGGACCCCAAATTACCGTGTCCCCGGCCCACTCAAAGCCCTCCGTCCGGCTGGTCGCCGTTGCAGCGCCCCCCGTCGTCGTCGCCCGGCCCGTCGTCGTACATGTTTGCCTTTTACTTAGGCGCTTGTTTTGTTAGCTGTAATATTTATTGACTATAGCTTCTGTATTTGTCCGTCACTTGTGAGTGCGAGGAGCGTAGCTCGTATCCTCTTACCCTCCCCCTCTCCCACCCCGCCCCCTCCTCTCTCTCTCTCTCTCTCTCTCTCTCTCTCGCTCTCCTTTGCTCTCATCTCACACTGTCTCTGTCTGTCCCCTTCCGTCCATTCTGTCACCTAGAGCGCCACGCCATGGCGACACGGCGATGCGCACGGCTGAAGTTGTCGTTCAGAAGTCCTCGAGGCTGGAGGCTTGTGTGTGTGCGTGTGTGTGAGGGAGGGGGGGGGGAGCATGACTGTGACATTATAAGCGTCAAAACAGAGAGAACAGGCAGAAAATGGGGGGAGGAGGGGGGGGGGGCAGGGGGAATGGGGAATTTGATGCCGCCCCCGGCCGATATGCGTGGGAGTGAGGCCACGCCGCTGCGCTGCGCTCGGCCCCGCCAGCAGTGCAAGCTGCATCAGCACTGCAAGCAGCTCGAGCAGTGTTTGCTCTTGTCGATGCGCCATGAAATTCTGTCCTCGCCTCAGCGCAATAATAGTTGTTGCTTCTCCACTCACCTCCCTATACTTTGGGTGTGTTTGATCGCGCTTTTTTCCGCCCTGTGAATCTGGTACGCTCGCACACACACGCACGCAGTTTGACAGTTAGGTACGTGCACGCCCCACAGCACGTAGAACATCGGAGGTGAAGAAATTGTGTTGTCGTTCACATCTTCATACGCACATCTTCATACCCATGTCACCGATTCTTGAAGGTCGTCGCGAGTATTCGCGGGATACCTATATATATCTAATGAATGAACAAGTCGATTGTCGACTGCACACACACACACACACATCCGCGGGGCACCACGACGACGATGCGCGCGAGTCCTCCTCTTCCTCTCCGTGGCGGGGAGCATGGCGGGGCGTAGCGACCAGGTGGTCCATCCCCGTCCTGCTCCCTCTCCTGAACAAACACAGCCTCCGGGGCTGCCTGCGGAGCCTGCGGGCCGCCTGCGGGCGAGTGCAAACAGCGATTAATTGTTACATGTGCTCGGGAGAGGGCGGGAGGGACGGAGGGACACGGGCTCTTATTAGTCGGACCGGGTTCTTTGGCCATTCTTTCAGCTGACCAAAACCGAAATCTGTAAATAATTACATCAAACTCGCCATGTGTATCAGGAAGGTGGCCGACTCACTCCGCGCACTGCCGTGGTTTGGTTATACTGTACCGTATGCGCGCGGGCGTGCGGGTTTGCCTATCCTCGCTGCCTACGGACGGCTCCTGCTTACAGCCCCGTACGAGCAAGCAACCTGCCCGCCGGCCTGCATGCGGTACAGTATAACTACGAAAGTGCGCGACGCGAGTCAGCCGTACAACCTGGCACAGTTTACTGTTTCGGAATCGCAAATAAAAAGATGTGTGGGGTGGGGGGCGTATCTCCAATGCGCAGACCACAAAATTCAACCAGTGCTATGGTGAAGGATTTTAGTTTTAGAAGACAAACGACGAGAACAAGCGACGCGTCGTCCAAGCTCCCATCGCCGCCATATGTATTCGCCCTTGTTTTTTGAATTTACCGCGACGAGTTTAACCCCCCGCACTTAGGGTTGAAAATTTCCAAAAATTCCTGGAGAATTTCCGAAAATCCGAAAGGTTTCCGAGGTTTGGAAATTTTTCAGTTTTCCGCGAAAAGTTTCTTTTTTTTTCGGAAATTTTCCGAAAATTTTCCGGATCCAGGATTTCCAACCCTACCCAGCATCCCATTCCACGGCGCCGGGAGTCGTTGCACCAGAGCAGCACTGCAGCCGAACAGATCATTAATTTGTCATTGCGGGGCTGGAGGGCCGCCCCGGGCTGTGCGGGGAGGGGAGGGGAGCGGGCCGCGAGGCGCGGCGGGCAG